TTTTATACCAGTTAAAAAGTAAGATTGGCTGCAGGAGGAAAAGAAGACAGGATTTAGGTGCTAGTGGGTAGGTCTTTGGCAAACATACACAGTCCTTGCAGYATTAGGATTCATTTTGATCAAATTCCACAGAGTAAATGTTGCTCTGTGTAATTATGAATGACTGGAGAGAACCACAGTTAGACCAGCAGACTGAACCCGAGCTGAAATATTGGCTGTGCTTGGGAAGGATCATAAAGAACTGAAGGAGCAGCTTACAGCCTGTAAAGACTGCTGGGGGGAGCTCCTCAATGATGTACATGACAGCTCAGAGGTACAGCAGAGTATAACCAAACAGAAAGCAGAGCAGCACAAAGAAATATTTGTGCAAGGTCAAATACCTTGGGAGGCTGTGCAGTTCAAACTGTGCCAAAAAAAATYCCCACATTCAGGAGGAATCGTGCACTTACACACGAGGGACTACACTTCAGAGCAGGAGCGTGCAGCCAGGACCTCAATTAGGAAACACCATGATGTGCTGGTCAYGCATCAAAATGCTGCTGCAAGCCACAAAGTGAAGGCAGCCCCTTCAGTGTCTTCAGGGTCAAAACATATGGCTGGGTCATTTAAATTAACAAGTTACCTTTTGTTTATACTYCTCTTGTTATGAATAGCTTTAATTACAGCCGCCAGCACAAGCCTCAGTTAGCTTGGGAGTTCCCTCGCAGCATTTGCTGCCCACAGCTCGCTGCTGGGGCTGCTGCCAGCTCCCTGAGTCCCCACGGTGCCAGCACTGACTCCCAGCTCCAGCGGCAGTGCCATGGCAGCACTGCGGGATTTGAATACTCACCTTTGAAACGCACCTTTGTCCGTTCTTCTGGAAGTTGAGATGTTGAGCTGCCTGGGAATTTTCCCGTTGCTGAGCATGTCCAAGTCACTCCCTCTCTGTAGCACATAAATCCAGGAACAGGAGGCTCCTGGCCAGTGGTGCCTGTGTTGCACAAGCCCACTCCCCCAGTTTTTTTGGCATGAATTTGCCCTCAGGGACTGACGGTGTTCGTCCATCAGGGGCGGAGACAGCGGGAGCTGCCAGGTCCCGGTGCACACAGCTCTGTGTGTGCTGCTCAGCCTCCCACCGATGTCTGCTTGCTCCTTGGAAAAGGCAACAAAGGGGAAATATCGACTGCCTCAGAGGCTACCAGCTGCCCTGGTTCAATAACTAGGGCAGCTAAAGGTTAAACCAGCTGAGGCGTGAGCAGCAAGTTTAAATTTAACAACAACAACAACAACAAAATTTCAAAAACCCCACAAAACCCAAACAACAACGAAAAAAACAACCAAAAAAAACACAAAAAGCAAAAAACTACTCAGAAAACAAACAGTAAAAGGAAAAACACAATCAAAGTCGGGGAGAAACCCAGAGTGAATTCCCAGGCCCACCTGTCCCAGCTCTCCTGTCCCTCACTCTCCTCCACTGCCCTGCAGTGCTGGCAGTCCATGTCACAGCCATGAACACTGAAGCCACTTTATGTCTGGGGGCCTAAATGCACTTAGACACAAATCAGTGATATTCAACCTGCARTGAAATCCGTCTGTTTGCTTTGATGTACCCTGCTGTGATATATTAATAACTTTTTGCTTTATGTAGTAAATTCTGTCAGAAATCATAGTCTGATTCAAAATTATACTGTTTACCAAGCCTAATTCAACTTTAAGGACATTACACAGTATTTTGTCTAGGTATTTTAAATCAATCATGGTATATAACATGCGCATGCATATTTCAAAATTTTCCTAGTGGTGTATAATTTCATTTGAAGCTTAGGATTTTGCTGCTTGGTGGGAAAGACACATCTAGCTTTCCACACTCATGTAGGGAATACATACTTTGGAGATAGAGTAATCTGAAATTCCTCCACTGAGAAAATCAGAATGACATCTAAGGAAACCGCCTGTGGATCTCAGAGCCAGGTTTAAGCAGTGGAAAGACAATTTCTGTGCTAACACTGCCACCCATCGAAAAATAGGAGACACAGCCATTGCATGTCCTGGTTTTCATCTCTTYTTCCTCTTCGGTGTACTGCAATGCTTTCAAATATATTTTCTCCTCACTACTGTCTTTAATAATATAATGTTATCAGGTAAAATTTGTAAATAAGCTAAACCTAAGCGGTAGGTCAACACTATAAAGCAGAAGATAAATTGTCTCCAGAACAAAATCTGGAGTGTATGGAAGTCTCCCCATGAATGGGGGCAGGGAGCTACTGGAGCCCCAGGGCAGCCTGATCCAGCACGTAAGCAGAGCATGTAAAAGCTCATACATCATGAAAATACATATAGAGCCCTGATCCAGCCCAACAGAATTCACCATAGGTGGGTTCTTCCCTCCACCCTGGGAGAGTTGGACTTTTCCTTTGTTAGAGAGAGAATCACCCTCTGATCTCTATTTTCTCTGAGGTTTTTACAGCTATTTTATCTCCTGCTTCACTAAAGATCAAACCACATGTATACTTTTGTTTATCATGGTTTCTTCATCCTGTGGTGTAGTGTTGCTTTCCTCTCAGTGCGACCTGTAGCTGTTTCCTCGGCTGTGAGAAGTTCCCTTACCCGCAACCAGTTTACCTGGTTGCACAACTTCTCCCTTGAATCATGCTTTTACCATTTTCTCTCACAAATTATTGATATCCATATTATGAAATGGCCATTAGTAGTGAAACATTTAAGCCAGGAAATTTTACAATTAATTCCCTTGAGCAAAGATTTTTTTTTCTTTATTAGCTCTCACTCTTCCAAAGAGTTACCCCTGCACCTACAAGAAATGGAGCTAAATTTAGTTCAGGAAAACAGCTTCTTCCTCCTTCCCTTGACTCACCTTTTGCAGTCTAGTCTTGCTCCTACTTTTTTTGCCAGCTTTTGGTCAAAGTTATTCTTGTTGGTAAWACTAACATGAGGTACATGAGGAATGTGAGGACTGTCCTTGGGTCAACAAAAAGACCCAAGGAGACCTTTTTATGAACTTTGTAAACATGAATTCAAATGTTTTTTAAAGACCAACTGTTATAAAATGTACTTTAAAACAATGCTCCTTCTCTTTTCCAATTAGCAAGGTTGTTCTCTCTTCAATTAACAAAAACCCAATCTTGCTTATGACTAAAGGAGTAAATTACYTTTTTTACACTTATAACTTTGTTTTCTGAAAAATGGAATTAACTATGCTTTTCTACTGAGAAACATCAYATAAATTATGTCTTTGTGTGCTATATAAACCCTGGGGTTTTATTAACTGACTGCATCTCYTGTGCAGCTGGAGATGAAAAACTTACCAGGATGGTACAGATGGAAAGGTCATTAACAGAACYAGAGAAATCCATCTGCAAATCTCACTCTGTAAAGGTTTTATGTAACAGCTCAATCTCACTGAGATGCTATTGAATAGCAGGCAGCATTCTGAAAGTCTTCTAATGCTTTACAAAGCTTGGATTTATGGAGAGGGGGATAAATCATTGAATTGCTTATCATCTGAGGTATGAAGAGTGGAGAGTTCTAGACTCTGGTGATTTATTAAATATGGATGCTGTTATGGATTCTTTCAAAATGAAAAAAGACAGCTCAAAGAAYGATTTATTYTGCATTTAACAGTTTCAGAAATGASCAAGTCTCCAGAAGTTMTTGAAAAAATTAAGGACTAACCATTTTTCAGTTAAATAGCATCAGAAAAAAAGTGAGATTAYAAAGGCAATAAGGTATTGTTTGGTTAACTAAAGAATTATCCCTTGACAGCTTTAGTATAACTTCCCTTGCAATATTTTTACCTTCATGAGAGACTGTGAAGTGTTTCACAARACAAAAGTTTATGAGCTGTGTAACCAGCATCAGAGTTATCCAGTTACCCGACTGATGGAAAGTTCCTCCAGGCCAATGCCTTCCCTGTTTTATGATCTGAAGTTCTGGGACTTCTTTCCAGTTCTTACCACAATTCTGGCAAATCTAAGATGCTTAGCTTCCATTTCTTACTCCTAAACTGGATTCACTTATTCTCTCAGGTTATCTAAATTTTCATCTTATTTACTAATTTTGCTAAATATGTGGTGAAGGAATAAACTGCAGCAATTTAACCACTAAACTTGAGCACATAAGCAAAGAGTAAAAAAAAAAGAAAATTTTATTCAATACTTCCCATCAGCAGGCAATGTGCAGGCATTTCCCAGGAAACAGGACTTCAGCACACAAGTGATTGCTTGGGAAGGCACACACTGGAATAAATGAATGCCCCCCTTTCCCCCTCCTTTTCTTACCTTTTCTGTCTGAGCTGACATCACTTGGTATGGAACATCCTTTTAGCAATTGTGTCAGCTGGCCTGCTCGTGTCCCCTCCCAGGACCTTGTCCTCTCTCAGCCTGCTCAGGGCAGGTGGGGATGCTGGAGAGATGCTGTGCCAGCGCTGCTCAGCTGCAGCCAGAGCCCTGCTGGGTTATCAACACCTTCCCAGCTCCCAGGGCAAAGCACAGCTCTGCCAGGGCTGCTGTGGGGAAATGAACTCCAGCTCTGACAGACCCAGCACACCAGAGTAATAACATTTTACAGCCATTTCAGATGCGTTTGTTCACATGCATTACTTTGCTCTGAATGGATGTATTTGGTGGATCTGACAGGAAGATGGAAACAAATGAATGTGAACAGCAAGGCAAATCCATCAAACAATGCACAGGAAAACATCAGAACCTCTTTATTCGGCTTAGGTTCTTATTAATATTGAATAGAGAAGTAGTCCTCTTTTATAGGAATCGAAGTATTATTACARTAGTTATAAATAACTACTATAATTAGTTACTTTACAATGCCACAGTTCCTGGGCAAAATAAAGGTTGCTATATATTTCGTAAATCAAAGTATTGAACAGTACAGATAAAGTGTTCTTACTTGAATACTACAAATTATTCCAGATATAAATAATAATAACAAAAATGCAATAAAACTTTCAGCTTATAGAAATGTAASTATAATATGTACATTTCTCACATTCTTACTGGAGCTGGASAGCTGGGARATCCACATTCTTCTTCCTTCTTTACAGTACATCTAGATTTTGTTACCAAACTCCTGATGTATAGCGAGCGAGCTCACTAGCATGCCCAAAAAACATGAATTGCTAAAGGAATAAAACAGAAGAAACAAACAAAACAAACAATTCTTATATATGGTTCTTAGTTCAGAGATCTCCCAGCTGCATTGCAACGTCAGACACGTCAAAGGGTGAGAAGAGGGTGGAGGCACGTTTTGCAATGCCCTCACCCCTTGGCTCTCTCAGAATGGGACACCCACAGAGATAGAAGGATGGGGAACGACCTGCATGGGAAGTTTTAATTTATCACTGGTCAAAGTTATGCTCTCTTTACTCAGCATTTCTGCCCTGACTTTGTTCAAACTGACTCATTCCCTCTCATTTTCCCTCAGACTGGAGTCCATCACAATAACCATCACCTTTAGTTTATGCATGGGGTCCCATTTCTGTGCCTGCAGGCCTGGGCTGTTCACACTCACTGATGCTGCACTCATTGCCCTTGGCATCATTTAAACAAACCTGGTTCATGCCCAGGGCTGGCAGAGGCTGCTGACACCTTCCCAAACTCAGGGTGCCTCACATGCCCCTTGTCCCTCTGCAGCCCGTCCAGCACAGAAGCAGAGCACATTTTGGAATGGTACCTGATGCAGAATTGCACAGGCAGGTGGAACAGGAGTGTCACACACTGGTTTCAAAGAGGAAAGGGAGCTGCACTGCACTATTGACACAGTCTGAGTGAGCTGAGAAGTGCTCTGACAAGTTCCATGTGCTCAGAGTCCACAGCAGTCCCTCCATTTGGAAATTGTTGCTCTGAGAGCATTAATCCTGCTCAGCTCAGTGCTTCTYGTGGTTCCAAGGAGAGCAGGGAGGCAGCGGCTGCAGCATCAGCTGCCCACCAGCTCAGCAGGCTCTTGGGCCTTGGCTGGGTCTCTTGGCTATTGCTGATCTCTATTTTTCTGCTCTCACCATCTACATAAACTTGCTGTCTTTCCTGATGAGTCTGTAAAAAGTCTTCCCTTTTCCCTTTTKCAATATCACCAGAAACAAAACTCAAACACATTCTAGACTGCTCATGTAGTCTAGAATCAGCTCATTGTCTGAAATATTTCTTTGTTGCCTTTTGTGGTCACTTTTGCACACAGAAGTTCACAAGCTGTTGCCCACTTGAAGGCGCTCAAAATTGACTCCTTTACCATCACAGTTTGAACCTGCAGATAGAAAAGTTTATGTTCATGTATTAGTGAATGACRGACTTACGATAAGGAAGCAAGCACCAATCATGACAGCTTTCATCTTCACATCAAGGTCCATTGGAAATGAGATTCCAAAGTTATCTGCATCTTTATCCAATTCCTTCATAATACCAGTCCACTGCTTTGTAATCATCCCAACACTTAAAGTCTCATCCAAAGACTTAACCTATAGTTTAATATAAAATTAGAAAAAAAAATAAATCAAATCTGTCATTCATAATATTCCCAAATCCATTTTGGAATAGATCCATTTAAACGCTTCAGACTGTTTTTACATATAATACTATATCTAGTTATTGAATGCAAGTGTTTGTACCAAAAGGCAGTCAGACTATCAGAAAGTCGGTCTCAAGCGTTAGAGCCATGAACTCCATTCTGAATCTGACTGCAAAGTTCAATTCCTTGATGGTGCTGGGGGACATCAACCACAGGCACACCCTGTGCTGAACTGGTGTCTTTTAGCCAAGAGAGTGAAYTACTTTCTCCTGCTATGTATCAGGAACTGCTCAAGTGAACATTAAACAATTACATTCTTCTGTTCAAAGAAGAGATTAGCCCTCTAGCAACATTATGTTTTCTAAAGTTAGATCTGTAATATTCTGGGTCATGTGAGTAGCACCCAAATTTTGCAGTGGTAACTATGTGCAACATCATTTTAAACATTACATTGTAGATAAACATATCTTCAATTTAATATGTATGAAAACAATGTTACATTAATCAATATTATTTTTAAATGAAAGTTATAACTCTTCTGTCATTCAACTCTCTATTTTAAATCTAAATTATTTTGACTTACTAGTTTGTTGAATAATTATTGTATGATTAAATAGTTGTAGGAAGCAATTTTAACCCCATAAAGCTGAGAATAGCATATATTTTTTTAGTGCTTAACATAATAGATTTAAAAAGAGTTGGCTGCTGTATACTTGAAYGATTTGCATGCAGCCAAAGTGGAAACTTTTTCAGTGATCACTGATGAGTGGCTTTAACATGTCATTTCTGGAAGTTCATCTGGTCTATCTAAAGTAATTTCAGTAYCTAGAGAAGACATTTGATTATACYAGCATTAAAAGATGATGTAGTATTCACTTAATATATATTACASTTCAGTTGACATTCAAAAACAAACTACCATCAAACTACTATCTGAAAACATATACATGCAAATAACTGCATACCTCAAAATTAACATCCTCACAACAGCTGCACTCAGTAGTACATGGGCCAAGAATTTTCAGTATGTCCATTTTTTTTGCATCTTGAATGGTGAACTTTGGTAGGCAGGCATGCCAGTTCTGGACAACATAACCAACCACTGTTCCTGGAGGCGCCTGGACTTCCAGCTTCACAGGAAAGAGAAAACCTCCAAGTGAATGTTTGGGCTTCCATAGGCTTKTGAGACAAAACCCACACCAGCACACAAATGAAACACAACCTATTTTTGCACAACAACCTTTCCATGCATTTTGCTGTGAGTGTTTTCAGAAGACTGCACTCAGGTTGCAGACCTCTTCTTCAACTTTTGCCTTCAAGAAAACACCAAGAGACTCCTCAGGMTGTGGAGCACACAAACTAYGYATTCACAATAYAAAGATCAAAGTCCAGTCAAAGAAATGCAGGCAGCATCTCAAAGGCATCCTGTGAAGGCATTACAGGGTGTAGCAACTACAAATGCCTCAGTAGGAGTTCTGAGCAGGCTCAGATTTAAAGTTTCACAAGTTGCATAACTCCAGAATTATTCCAGTACTAAAAAACCCACATGATCTCCTGTGCTGAATGTCACTGTCACACTCAGTGACATTTCAGAGCTGTAAAATGAAAACTTTCACTGTTATTTYATGAAAGCTGTTGCCTTACTCTTCCATTCCAAGTCCATCCCCAGTGCAGATTTCAGCACCAACAAAGAGCCCCCTGATATGCTATTCAGATTTTTCCTTATTACCACAATCAGAAGTGGTCAGTGAGCTCCAGTGTTGCATCACACTTGTTTCTCCCCAGACCACGGACCCCATGCACCAATCCCACAGATCTCTTTTCCCACACTTTACTGGCAAAACCTGAAACTTTGTTTCACCTCATAGCCTGATTCAAGACAACCCCACCTTAAAACTGCACAGGAGGCCCCTGTCCCACCAGAAGGAAGGTGGTGAGAGGCACAAACTCACCTCCTCTAAACAACAGGGGCAGCAGCAGGAAGAACATCGGTCAGGTCTGTGCAGCGTTATCACCTCATGGCCCAGGCTGTCTGTCAGTCTGATGGTGAAGGGCCGTGATGAGCCATAGCAGTCCCTGTAACAGCACGAATCGTCCTCTTCTGCAAAGTACACCCTTTGCCCCAGTGAATTCTTGATCTCGTATTTGTTGTTTGTTTCAAGGCCACAGAGAGCTGAAAAATAGGAAAAGATCTGCTAAATTCCTGAGGAGCATCTGGYCAGACACTCCCTGCTAACTCTGCAGCTGCCCTTTGGGAAGGCAAGCCTTGCTCAGAGGCAGCTATTGGCAAAGGGAAATGATAGGAAAGGACCCTCAGGCAGAGAAGCCTGGCAGAAGTTCAGAGAGAAGCCACCATGAACAAGAACACACAGAGCATGGAGATTTGCATCAGTCCCCAGTCTCCCCCACCAGCCACAGACACCTGCTATTTACTCCTTTCTCTCCTCTACAAGTTCTACAGGAATTCAGACAGGTAATAGAGGCGAGAAAGACAAAGGTGGTGACCCCCTTAAAAATAAGTGTCAAAAAAATCTAAACTTAACTGTTCCTGAGATTATTAGATTCAAATACTATCTACTTACTTTCTTGAGGTTCMAGTTGCTGAATTAATATCTGCTCCATCTGCTCATGGTTGAAAAATTAAACAGAATAAACAGTTAACAAGTTGCAACTAAGAGAAGYGTAGTTTTATGAACTGCTGCTGTTCCTTTCAGAATGAAAAATATATAGATCAATACATAGTCTAGAGCAGATTATCTACCWGTTAAACTGTGGAAGTAGCTCACAMCCCTCCTTGTCCTGTCCTCTGCCAGTTTAGCAGAAGGGTGTTGCAGACTTAATCTCTCCAATGATGAGATGAACTGTATTTTACAGTACAAGGACATATTCAGTAATGTGGAAACAATTCTTATTTTGTTATTAGCATTTTCTACTCTGTGAAGTCTGACTGGCACCTCTACTAACAATATTAAGAGGTGTGAAGAAAGCACCATGCATAAAATTAAGTACCTCTAATGTGCTACAGTTGGTCAGGTTATAAGTATTTATTGAATAGGCTGCAGTGGGTAGAACCTTGGCTGGACGCCATGTACCTACTAAGCCTCTCTGTCCCTCCCCTTCCCAATGGGACACGGCAAGAATAAGATGGAAAACACCCAATGGATGAGATAAGGCAAGTTCAGTGCAGTGAAAAGAAACAAATAAGTGAAATTCTACACATGCATAAGCTAAGGAAAAGAAAATAAGTCTCTGCTTGCCATAGGCATGTGATTGTCAGACACCTTGTAGAAAGCAGGGCTTCAGCACATTTATTGGTTCCTCTGGGAGGCAAACWCTGAAGAATCATGAATGTCYCTYTWTTCTCCTCTCYCCCTTAGCTTTATATATCTAAATTKATATCATATGGTATGGAATATCMCTTTGGCTAATTTGGGCCAGCTGGCCTGGCTATGTCCCCTCCCAGGATCTTGCCCACTCCCATCCCTTTGATGGGGGAAGGAATGTCAGARGGACAGTGCTGCTCAGCAGCAGCCAAAACACTGATCTGTTGTCAGCCCCCTTCCAGCTGCTCATGCAAAGCACAGCACTGACCTCAGTCACACCCAAAACATTCATCTTGCCAAATGACATGACATCCCACAGGCAGTAACTCCAGACACAGGAAGGATGTATGATAGTCCTGTGTCCCTCATCCTTCAGCATCCCACTTGGCAGGAAGGTACCCCATGGACAATGCTACAGCCATAACTGGCATCTCTGCATTCAGACCCTACAAAAGGCTTCACTTAGAAGCCCCAAAGCAGCACCCACACAGCTGCAGCACAGCCAGATGCTTTACTGAGCTACATGGAGGCTGCTTCCCAGATCAGAATAGCTGATGTGTGGGGAAGGAGGAAGGGTGCAGGTACCTGTGTGAGGTATTCCAGTCCAGGAGGGCAGTTGGGAATGGAAGGAAGGATGGGCATCCAGATTGTCCCATCCATGGGAGGCTGGTTCTGGACAGGGGGAACGACAAATCCACCTGGGACTCCCATGGGCTGTGCCTGGACTCCGTGGTTCCCTGCACCTGTGATATTTGGCATAATAGAAAAGATAGAGTTATCGAAGTTAGATATTGGAAAAGAATTGCCCCAGGAATCTTCAAAATAGTAATTTGTTAACTATTTTGAACTATGGAAATCCTTATACCTTATATATTTCAATTATGAAACCAATCACTTCCRTGAAGGAAGTAACACTGCCTTGGGAGGTTCTGATGCCTCAGACAACACCACATCAAATTAAAAAATGCATCATTCTTCAAWGTAGCAGAAATTTCATTCACATAGAGATAGGCAATTCAAAAAACAGWAATAAAATAAATGAAGGTTATTTCTAGGTAGAGAAGACAAAATATTCTAAATTAGATGAAGACTATTGGCATTTACTTCATTGGCAAGACTTCAGTTGAGCAAATGAGGAATTTTAAAATTTTCCTCGAACTATATATTCTACTTTTGTGGAAAGAAATGTCCTTTTAGTTCATCCACAGTTTTCAAATCAGATGACTTGCAGAGCTTTAGCCCACACGAGTGCAGCAATAAGTTTCACATTCCATCACAAATGGATTTAAAAACATTTCCCAGGCTTCAGTATGTAAGCAGAAATAACTGACATTTATTTTTTATTATTTTTATTTAACTTCAGAAATCAAGATCTGAAAATGCAAACTCTCTGTTTTGTAAAATACTCAATTGTAAAATGTAAATAATTCCAATTTAAAGCATTTGTGSATATTTCATATAATTAGAAGGTACACAAATAACTAAGCTAATATTACTTGAATGTGTTGTCTTTGAGGTCAKCAAAAGTTGACATTTTGTTWATATTTTACTCACCTTGCATTGTCGTGGATCTGCTTACAGTTGTTCTGAAAAAGAACATTTTTATTTCATGATTTCTTGAATAARTAATTTCATGAAAGAGTTATTCATATTTCTCTGTTTATTATTGATAAAAYAGATTTGCCTCTTTCCCATGTGGGAAAGCTAAATTACAAATACAAGGTAAAATAACCTTAAATATCTCAGCTTCCTTCTAGGCTACCACATAAGTCTGCATTCATGCTTTGAGCACCCTGAAATCATCCTCAACTCAGAGGAAAGCACTGGGCATTGCAACAYTCCAGGAATATCACAAATTATAGAAGAATTATAGATGTTAGTTAGAATAGCAAAAGATCAGTTTATATTGTGAGATGTTCCAGCTACATGAGCTTCAGTGAAATACTGAGAATTACAACAAAATCCTTTGGTATAGGGAGAGTAGAGGCTGAATCATTTGAGTTATTTAAAAGAAAGGCTTTGTAGTAGTCCAGAATCTTTATTGTCCCTACAACCACACATACATGCCACAGTGCAATCTAGGATTTAGAAAATGTTGACATGGTCTATTAGCTAGAAAAGCAACTAAGATTTTACAGAGCTCAGCCCTCATTTCATCAGACATGATGCTAAAGAAAATAGTTTTGTTGTTTTTTTTTTAATTAAAATTGTCTCTGGTCTAGTCTTCTACTGCCTTTTATCTGAACTTTTACAGCCAAGTGCTGTAATAGCCCAAACCAACTGACCCAGTGCCAGCACAACCAATTCCTCACATTCTCCTACTTCAGAGGCATCTTAATACGCAGGCACTATGTTTTCCCCCTCCAGGAGTATTGAAGCCAGCCACTTAGGGACAGTTAACAGCTTTTGGAAAAGAAATGGAGGAACTACTCATTAGTCAGAATAAAACTGTTCCCATTTAGAGTTTCCTTACAGAATAAAGAAATAACATCCCTGGATAGCTCCTTTTTATGAATGTCCATGTGTCTTTTCAGTTGCTTTCTCATTTTCAGAACTACATTACACAGCCACATGTCCCTTACCCTAGAGAGGCTGCAAGAAATTCAGACATGTTATAATTATGTTAACTATAGGGCTCCCACTTTTTATCAGAAAAAAAGAGTACTAGTGTGACAATTAGTTCCATTTCTTATCCAGCTGACTAAAATGCTGCCATGAGCATATTAATGTAAGCTCCCAACACAAACATGCTTAGTGCCATATAAATGCCACGCAGGCCCTTTCCAAGAAGTTGTAATATTAAAAAAATGGGAAAACAAATAGCCAGGAGGCAAGCATTAGTGCATCCTTTGTGATATTTCTTTTTGTTGTAGCATTACATTAGATTAGCATTTTAACCATGATGGCTGGAGAAAAAGGATGCTTAAAAATCATCTGGTTG